GATTATCTGGGTCGCTCAGGGGCGCTCCGGGTCTCTTGGCGCAGTTAGGGTCCCAGGCGCAGCACAGGATTGTTACATATTCTCAAAAGACTTTTTGTCTTTATAATAATAAAGTTTATACATTTTTCTTAAAAACAATACTGGTTTTAACCAGCTGAGTAAGCAGAAGCCACCACTTGTTTTATTTTTCTTTTTCAAAACATTTTTCTTGTTTATTTTTGCGACTAAATACAAGAAACACCTAAAAGATCTATGGTAAGAACATCTTTGTAGGAAGAAAACTGACAAGAAAAAATATTCTCCAAAGATGCCTAAAAGATTCAAGAATTTAGAAAAACAAGAATAAAAAAGTCTTCAGTTTTTCCATCATTTCTTTGACTTCCCATTTCTTTTTTCTCAAGTATGCTTTCTTTTTTCTGGTTTTTCTGTGGAATTTTGTCTACTTCAGTTTGACTCTGAATTTTTTGGTCACACAGAATTTATTGAAAGATGATTAGTCAAGGTTATGGATTGGTTGATTATATCAACCACAGAAAAAGTAAACAAGACACATACTTCTCATGTGTTTCCAGTTGTGCAACACTAAACTGATAATGTAATTAGTTTCTGAAAGAGTTGGACGGTTTTTAGTTGAATGAGTAGTATGGAAGTATTGGATAAAATTGAAATTGTGAGTAATAGAGGAGTGGCCCCTTTTTGTTTCTATTCTTTTATTTTCTTTTTTTCTTCTCTATTCTTTCTTGAGAACAGAAAGTAGCAACAAGATCTAGGTCCTATTCCAATCTGATAACAAATTGAAGTATCAATATCTATTCCAAAAATGGTTGGAGAAAGGGATCTTGAAACCATCCACTGGTTAAGTGAAGCTATAATTCCAGAAGACATAGCTTGGAAGAAAAATCAACAATAGAAAACCAACATTCTTTCTGGTTAAAAGTTTTTAAGTGTAAAATTTCAAGAAATACTTTTCTGGAAGTGCCCTTAAACGTTCTTGGATATCAATTATTCCATTGGAAATTAAACAGTCTGACTGGTTACAGGTAGTGTGAAGTGAGAAATCATGAGAGGCTTGGATTTTTAAATTCATTGAGATAATCTTTTCAATAATAGTTAGAATAAATAATAACTTTTTTTCTTACATAGTTTTTACAAGAGGAGATGACACAATTTGGATTTATAGTCATGACTATAGAGATAATCTGCAAATTTTGATCCTATTGAAAGTTTGAAATCTTAATCCCATCCTTTAAGGGAACAATATATTATCCTATAAATTGTATCTAGAGGCTTTGGCTATTGATGAGTGAGTTAGGTTAAGGAAATTTTTTACTTTGCATGTATTCTTGTGTGTATAATAACTTTCTATAATTTAATAAATAAATGACACCAATCTGATTGCAGGATTAAAAAAAAATTTACAAAATTTAATAATAATTTATATGTTTCTATACTTAATATATTTAATATTATTGATTACAAGAAAATATTATTTAAAATAAAAAAAAAACAAAGTATATAAGAAAAACAAAATATACTATATCTAAAGAAACAACAAATGATATTTCAATAATAATATGAAATAAAAATAAACAAAAATTATTAATTAGAACAAAAAACATATTCAATAATCCTATGTCAATAAAATTTTAATTTTTTTTTGGGCATGTGCTTAAATTGATTTTTTAATATCTATTAAAATCGAATGAAATATATATTATTAAAAAGCTCATGATTTAAGAAATCCAATAGTAATAAAATTAAAAAAATTTTGTAGATCAACATCTTTATCAATATTAAATTAAATTAAATAGAAATACTATAATTTAATAGTTAACATGTTAAATTATTAATATATAAACTTATTTTAATTCTAATTATTAATTATCAAGATAATTGGATTTTAAATTTGATATTAATTTTAAGCACATGTATTTGTCATTAAAAAAAATCATTAAAAAAATAAAAAAAAATATTATTATATTAATTTATTTTAAAATTTATATTATAGATTATATATTCTATAATTTTGAATTTTAAATTATAGGGTAATAAATTTATACCCTGAAAATGGTTGGTTCACCTTCAAAAAAATAATTACCCATATGTAAAACATATTTAAATTTAATATTAATAGAGTATATTAGGCAAGGCTTCAGTGAATGTAAGGAAAAAAAAATAAAGAAAAGTTTTAAAACAGTTTTAAATAACCTTAAACTATAAGTTTCAAGAATATTATTTTTAATTTTTATAATATTTAAATAACATTTAATAAAATTATGATAAAATTAATTCCAAAAAATTATAAATCCTTCTGTAAGTATAACTGATATTTATCCTTTAACGATATACAGTATTTAGTATTTTCATATTAGTTGTTTAATTTCTTTGAAGAGCCTTATATCGCAAATATGTGTAGTATATTAGAAATCAAGCAGTTTTAATATACTGTTTGTTGTAAATATTTAAGAATTCACTGTTTTTGTTTATAGTAGATCGATTTCGATGTAAATACATAAATAAATGAAATACGTCAAGCCAAGATTATATCTATAATTAGATCAAATATTTCAATTCACTTAGCGAGTCTCTCTGGATTCTTGAGCAATGCCTCCGTGGCCTCCATCTAAGCTATCTCTTGTTATTCATGGGTTTGTTTTTACCATTACCACTACTGTACGTCCTATTTTTAATATTGAAACATGATTATCGGAAGACAAATATCATAGTCTTAGTCATGTAAATTGAATGCGGTATAGTTAAATCAATACCTTTACCTGAATTTGTTTCATTATAAATTTATACGCATCATAAGCATGTGCAACCAATAGGGACTTTGGAAATTTTTCACGAATAATCTCTTTAGATACTCAAGCTTGCCAGCAATCGATAATAGTTTCCTCAGCTAAATAGTCGGCAAGTTTATCCTTTTCAGAAAACCTTTCGAACAGCAAATGACGAAACATGAACCTTTTCAACGCGGTTGCAAATGCTTCGTGTGGAATCCCTAGTTTTCTGATACGGTTTCTACCAACACCATGTGACCGTTCAAAATCCACTCCAGCCATTATTTCATCTTGTAACAGTTTTGATAGATTGTCTTTATATTTTTCGTCAAGGGATTCAATTTCTAATTCTGCCACCTCTCCTTCCACCACCTCATATAATGATATCACGTGTTTTAGTCGTAATCCTTTGACCATTTTGCAGAACTGATCGTTTCCGGTTAATGCTGATAGCTTCATCCATTTACTGAGGTAATCAATAATTTTCATCTCTCGATCCCCCGAAGTTTGTTTCAAAAAACAAAGTAATATCTCGAGTTCCGATAAGAGTTCAGTTGGATTTTCGGTGAGTGAAATCTCAAGTTTGTCAGCAGAGATCACTTCTTGAGGAATCAATTCTCTAATTTCGCTCAGAATTGTTGGATAGTTTGAAAATAGTTCTAGGTGATAGGTGAATGTGTCTAACCAGAATGATTTGTGACCCTCATTTAAATAAACTTTGTTGAAAATCAAGGAATGCGCCAATTCTGTTTCAATTTTACACAATTCATATTGAATCCTATGTCCGTGACCAAGCCTAAGATCGTGTCGGCTATGGGAAAGTAATTGAGGATTCCATTCATAATTTATAATATTATCATCGCGTGCCTCGGAAAGAGATAATGATTTTATTTTATATCGACAGGGCTTGATGGTTGAAACTCGTTGCAAAAATAGATTTTGCAAATTCACCAGATACTCAATCGCTCCACATATGTACAACGACTCATTTTCTTGCTCGACTAATGCATAGGACACAGAAATATTTCCGTTCATTTCAGGCATTGACTTTATAAACTCTTGACATTTGTATCGTGTAATGTGAGGCCTAATTAAATTCCAGGCATTGGAAAAATTCTCAAAATCTTTTTTGAAATTCCTTGTAGATGGACCTTCGTTATCGAGGAATCTATTGAAAGTGAAATGAAGAGTGTCCTCCCTTTTTAAGCGAAAACTTAACTTTGAAGAAAGTATTCGTACGAATTTTACGATTGGCAAAAGATTTTTTAATAATGATAGTCGTTCTTCATATTCAAAGAATAACGATAAAATCGGAAATTCTATGGCAAAATTTTGATATCTTGCGCAATATGCCCGCAAATTTTCAAAGCTTGCTTCAGTAGTCCGTCTCCAAATTCTAGGGTAAAAGTTGTCATGACAGTCTTTGTCACCTAAAGTTTCATTGATCTCCCTTTCGAGTTTATGTTGAACATTTCTCACTACCTTTTGAAATTCTGTTGCAGTACCGTGAGCGTTAATTACCTGGGAAGTGATATAACGTTGAGTAAATTCACATTCCCAAAGTCGTCGTTTTTCCATGGTGTCCAATCGCACGATTGATGTGATTGGATTTTCGGCCATGGAAGATAGAATGGAGTGTAAAACGAGCGCCAAGGTTTCGTCGTTACAATCAAAAAGACATGTTAAAATGTGCCAGTCATTTCAATGTGTCGCTTACAATACTCAATAGGCTCTTTGATGTTGAAAAAGTCCTGACAATCTTCACGCGAAGTTGCAGCAATAAGTGTATGCACGAAAAGATGCAGCACGCGATAAGATGCCAAGGTCATCCCCCGAATACGATAGTTGATGTCTTTTCTGCTTTCAGTAGACTCATATGCATATCCCATCCGTTCATTTGCCTCTTCATTTCCACGAATTGTTTGAACGTCGATACGTCTATTTCCAGGATTGACCTTATTGTTTATTCCTCCGATACGACTTTTACATTGTGGACAAATGCCCTCTTCTCTCGTGTCACCACACTCGGTAACAATGTATTTAAAGCCACATTCGCATTCGTAACTACTCAAGAGATAATCAATTAAAAAAAATCACAGATTTAGTCTATATCGTTTTTCTTTGAAGTACTCACCGTGTAAATTGACCAAGCGCCTCTCCAATTTCAATAAGAATGTTTGCATCAACGTCCGAACTGGATGTTAGTATGTATGTCTCTTTACAGGTCTTCAATGCTTGCAGATATGCAGCTAATGGAGAATTCGATGCAGAAAGGCAAGAATGGAGCGCAACGATGTGAACAATAACCGATCGAATCAACAACTCTGACTGACTTGTTACCGGTGAAATAAGATAAAGTTGATGAGTATTTGTGATGAAAGATAATAAGGTTTCTCGATAAAAGTTGTCAAATGGCATATTTGATAATTGAGTGTGCAAAAATTGAATCGCCGTTTTTTCGTGCAGGCTTAAATCACGCAAGGCATATATGTCACGAAGGCGAGAGATGGCAATACCCATCAAGGACATCTTTTTACTTATTGATGAGTCAGTTAAAACATAATTTAGAAAATTTTCGGCTTTCATTTGCTGCCCGCGCATGTACAGTGGTTCAAATGCTTCCTCCGCTTCGTTGTACTGGGCATAAAAACGGTAAGGCACGAAGCCTATTCGATTGTCTTCGTCACTCCATTCGAGATCGTTTAGCCAAGGAAATGTTTCGCCTTGCACTTTACTAAAACATTTAATCCCATGCAGTGAAAGTCCTTTGGCATATAAATCACGAAGGAAATATAATTTTAAAGAACGAATTTGAAATGATTGACGTTCCATAGCTCGATTGATGTTTTCAACTAGCTCATTAATATCCACATCAACCTCAAACTCCAAGGGTTCTCTCGTGGCATCCCGGATTGACACCAATGATTTCCAAAGGGTGTTCACAAACTCTTTGAGTAAGGCAACGGCCAATATAGATTGTAAAGGTTCGACATTTGTGCTGCGTAAAAGATTGACTGCGTCCTGAAAACTATTGAACAAATCCTGGAACGAAAAGAAAGAAAAAAAATTTCTTTGCATCACATCACCGCACAAAGCAAAGATCGGAGAATCCAAATGATTACTTTTGAGAGCAGCGTTTATTGCATTTAGATGAATAGAGTCATCTAAAATAGCGGACGTATTTCGAATTATTTCGGCAAGAGTCTGTGATTCCATTTTTATGACCTCAACCAAAACACTTGATAAAACAGGACCAAAAAATGGACATGGTTCTTTTCCGAAAAGTATTTTATAAAGGTAAATACGCAATGGTGAATTTGGCGAAACAATGTCGATACATAGTCGAAAGAATGAACATTGTGATGCTATTGTTTGTTCGGTGGTCGGAATTTTGTTAAAAAGTTCTAAAATACGTTCCACAAATTCTTGGGAGAGAATATTCTCGGAATCAGGTACTTGGAGAAGGTTGATGGCATCGCAATATTTGAAATTTTAATTAATCGACTAGAAACAAGCTCATTGCATATACGTAAAATTTGTAGACTTCTTGACCTCGGGACTCTCTCAATAATGGGACACAATGACAAAATGTTGACGACTTGGAGTTGCCAATCCTGTAAAATATTTTTGACATTGTCTGCAGATTCACCTCC